AGATATGATGAACACATTTTGCTTTAACCAAAGAAATCCATTAACCCCTTGAACCTAAAATCCTATAGTAGCAGCTTGTGTGCCAGTAAAGGCTCAACTGTATTTGCACAGAGAGCCTGGGGGACATGTACTTGGTCCATGAACCATAATATGCAACTGCTTTCATTCACATACATCACGCACGCCAACTGTGTAGCCTACTTACTCATGGACCAATGACAGGCTGAATACTCAGCTTCTGGGAGCTGAGTGCATATTTGTAAAACCAACACACAACTATTGAATAACTTATTGCACATGGATATACAACTGAGGCTTTAGCTCCCAGATAAACACACTTTATCATCCCTGGTGTTTGCCTACAAGATGGATGGCTGCATCTCCAGACACATCAGATAACCCGATTAGGAGAGCTTTAATTGGATATTTAACAGCGTGGCAATGCAATTAGCTTGAAGCATTTGACAGTTATTTGGGGTGAATCAATAAGAGGCTGTCTGCAGGCCATTTTGGCGTTTATTTTGTGTGTGAATGTGTGAATGGCCTCAGTGGTCAGCTCTGCTCTGCAGCGCATCCATCCCTGCTGCTGCAAGAGCCTCCTCTCCACAATCTCAGCCCTGCAAAACATCAGCCACAATTACGAGACCACCACCACTCTTTCTGTTTTGTACCCTTCTGAGGGCAAAGGTATAGACGCACCCATCTGCAGAATGAGAGAAGTGAATCCTGGCTGGATTTCATGCGACCCACAATGTGTTATTTATCCCCTCAGTTCTCCCGAGATGAATTCATCTCGCAGTCCACAGCGCAAAAATAGGGGACAAGGCGGGTGGACCAATTGAAATTCAACGCAGGACAGAAAAAGCGTGCTTACCGCAGACGAATCAGACTAATCCATCGGAGTTTCCAGAGGCACTTTCGTTGGGGGAAACCGCCGATATTTTTCTACTCTCTGTTAGTGTTTTTTTCTTCGCACTGAGAGAGAATAGCGGTGGGATAGGCTACAAGTCCCTGCCGATTCCGGAGCTCCTGTCGCCGCCGTGCGTACAGACGATGACGACAGCGACCAGTGTCATCAAGCTCACAACAACATATACAGCGTCTGGTTACTCATGTCAAAATAAAGCTGTATAATAGGACGTGTCATTTGAAAGTGTTAACAAGAATAAAGCGTATTTTTACCAAACAAAAATTAATCTAATGTTTTGAACCCGCGTATACGATAGTAATTCCACAAATTCTGTATTAGTAAGATTATGTCAAGCTCGCCCAAGGCATGATTTCCAAATGACTACCTTTTGTGCTTTTATTTTGAAGTGCAAATGCTATTCTGTTTCCGGTTGATCTGTGTATGGCTTGACGCAGCTGTGATTGTGCACTGCTGATGCGGATCCACGCCGACGGATAAGTGGTGATTGACACCGCTTTCCTCCAATAACAGATTACACTGTACAGCGGGACACCTCCTTGTCTGTGGAATGACTGATAACAGGACAAGGTTGGCATATTGTCTGTGACTGTTCAGGTGATAAGAGCTCTCTTTACGTTCTCACTTGTAGTCTTTAAATATGAATAAGAAACACAGACGTTAAGACAGTACTTTGGCTTAGAATTTAAATTAGAGCCAGAAGAAACTCATAAATCTTTGGGTCTGATTTTTGTTTAATCCCGTTGTGTTCAACAATGTCCCATGCTTCTCTAAGTGGATTAGTTTTTGTTCCAACTAAAATCATGTAGTGGTTTGTTTGCATGCACAATTGGCCCTCCATGAATGACACCTGAATAACAGCAGAGTAAAGTCCCACTCTAATTATCAATAAGTAAAAATCAACACTTATTTTAGGTAACATTCAGATGATTACTGCTCTCACTGGAAGCATAGCAAGCTAAAACTGGAAAACAGTGCCTCCTTCTGTATCAATGAAAACATCAGCAACACTGAGAGGGAATAGCCTATTAGGTGCAAAATGCAACATGTATTGCAACAATTAGGGCAAACAATCCTTATCTATATTAGAATATGTTAGCTTTTGATATTTAAAAAGGATTATTTAAACCTGCTCAGGAAGGTAATTATGAATCATGACGTTGACCTCTGACTTCCATTAATTAAATATTCCTCCAGTGTTGCAGCTGTTTAAACACTGGAGGTTTATTTAGCTGAGTGAATAAGCTAGAGCAATGACAAAAGTAACAAAAAATCAACACAGTCAATCACATACTGTATATTCACGGCCATTATTTTGTTCGTCCAAGAATAATTTACACTTTTACACTCTCCCACCTTCACTCCATGACTCGGAGCAGATCAGATTTGGGCTGCAGTTATTTTCAGTATATGGAAGAAACTTTTCTGAATTAATTAATTTAATGTTTTAAAGTAAAAAATATCCTTCACAGCTTCCCAGAGCACGAGGTGATGTCTTCAAATGTTTCGTTTTGAGCAACAAACAGTCAAAACCCCAAAGATATTCAACCAACAACGATATCAAACAGAGAAAAAGCAGCAAATCCGCTTGATGATCAAGCTGGAACAAGTAATTGACAAATAACTTAACGATTAATTAATTTTCTGTCAATCGATCAATCAGTTATTTGACTGTTCCATCTCTTTATCATACCATTCAGCTTTTTATAAACACAGCTTGGGTGATGCTACCAATGTTGAGCTTTTTCTAGATTTCATAACCTTTTTAAAAATGTATATATTTGCTGCAGATCTATAGACAGACTGGACTGGACCGGCCACTCTAGTCTGAACACTTTTATATTAGTAAATGCATAAAAATCCAGACAGTTTCAAATTAAATTTTGTTAGTAAAAGTCACACTGTAAATTATCCTGAAATGCTTCATGTTTATGATATGTAAAATCTTTTAATTAGGCATCGCTCTTGTCCATAAATGTAAAAAATCTAGTAAAAAATGTCTTTTATTTTGCTTTAATGGAGAAAAATCTGTGCAGATTGTTAAAAATGTTCTGTTACTGTAAAGGGTAAAGTACATTTATCACAACAGTTTGGTAGAGGTTCATTGTTTGAAAAACTATGTGGTCAATTGAAAAAAACTATACCTGATTTTTATTTAATGGGACCTTTAAAGGGTTCCTTTTTACATGATTTAAAGTGAGATGTTTAAGGTAAACATTTGGCATGTTTAAGATTTAGTGATGATTTATCCCTTTTTGGAAGTTAAGGTATAACAATATGCAATAGTTGCTCAGAAACACACACTCACACTCCACCTATTGGATACATGATACACTATCTTCCAGACAGGTGAAATCTTTTTGTCTGAGTGTCTGGCTTGCATTATGCTTGTTGAAAACACATCATGCCTTGCTGGCTTTGTCTCCTGGTTTACATATTCATGGCAGCTCACCATAATAATTACAGCTTTGCATGTAATCACAATATCCCAACAATAAGCGTGGCCTAGTTAGCCTGAAGACGGGTGGGTGGCTGAAAGAAGTCACCCTAATCCTCAAACTGTTGTCTGCGCTGCTTAATTTTTGAACTCACTCTCACCCTACTTCTCCAGAACCAGGAGTCATGATCGCCAAAGCCCTCGAATTGCAGCCTCTTCCTTGGAGCCATTTTGGACTGGTAACCATGGAGATGTGGGTCAGGCAGTGATGGCAGAGAGAAGAGACTTGTGGCTGGTGGTGGAGTCAGAGCACTGCAGGCTGCTGGAGCAGAGGGCCATAAACTCTCATTAGATCTGGGTCACTGGGATGCTCCAGCTGTAACAAGCAGACAAGACGCTATTATGCAAGAGGAGGGATGAGGGAAGTTGTGGGCACAGGGGCTTATAGTTACAGTGGACGTCTGTTTACTGAGCGAGGCATATGTCAGAAGGGTACGTGATGATATAACATGAGACAAGCTGAGTGATGCTTTCTCAGCTCAGCTGTGCACAACATGCTGTTATTTTGGCACTTGCATATCAGTTTAAAAGCTGAGATAAACAACTTCTTTGGCCCTATTTTTTGCAGCTTAGTACATCAATAAATACATTTAACTCTAAATTAGGTTAGACTATAGTTTATCCATCCATCCATCCATCTTCATCCACTTATCCGGGGTCGGGTCGCGGTACTATAGTTTATATAGTCTACATAAATATGCAATAATGTTGAAGGCTATTTTTTAACCTTTTTTTAACCAGGTGAGAAGACCTATTAAGATAAAATCTATTTTTCAAAGGCGCCCTCAAGAAAAGCAGCAGGACAGCAAGTCAGACAGTACAGACGTAAAATGACAACAATACAATGAAAACATCCTATACACATATGCAACAGCGACAGCACCCTATAAAAACCAGTATATTAAGACGTCTTCAATCACATAAAATACACTAATGGAGTGCATGCCCATTTAAATGCTATACTATTGCATATTATATTATATATTATTGTCTATGTATATAGTAACAAAAAAGACAATTTTATTACCTTTGTATGACACTTATTGTATTTAGAAGTGGCCAAAACATTTAACAGCGCAAATAATTCATATTTCTAAATACTAAAACTATATATTGTCATCTACATGTAAAAACAAATGTTTGCCATTTTTGTGTTTTTTAAAAGCATATCTTTAAATATATGCTATAAGAAACAATATGTTTAAAGATGTTTAGAGCATAGCCTACCGTTAAACATATGGTTTACTATAAATTTGTATGGGATAATCAAAGATTTCTGGGATGCCCCTCCTCGAAATCAGTTTTCAGCTAAATCTGCTAGACCTTGTAAAGCTCTATGAAATCTCAGGCATTATTTTATTTAGAAATAAAATCAGGTTTTTGTACTCTAAAATGGCTATACAAACAAGTAGTTGGCCATATTGTTGTGTCTCTCCTATTGTCCATGGTCCCCCATCCCATGAACCCCCTACTCTTTGGATTTCGGACTTGTGATTGGTGGAGACGGGGTGGCTTTGTCGTCATAGCCCCAGTGCCCATTCATCAGTGGACTTGGGCGTTGTACTCCGCATCTCATTTGCGGCGGGGCCAATTTCTCCATTTACAAACTCTGCTCGAGGAATATTTTTTTAAAGGATTCGCGTTTCTTTCGCATCTTTGCCACATTTTTGCAAGCTCTCACACGTCCCTCTGCGGTCACTTCGGTTTCGGGCTGGTTCCTCGGCTTCGGTTGGAGAAGGAGGTGTCGGCGTTTGACTTAAATTTTTGGGAAGAAGCTTGCGGTCTTTGTTCATTCATTTGATCGGTTGGGTTCCTTTGTTGCACCAAAAAAGCATGGGAGCACAAATCTCCAAAACCCCTGGAAAAGAGGAAGGTGCCGTGGAAAAGCCTGCAGAAGGTGCGGCTGTTGCAGCAAAGACAAACGGGCAGGTAAATTACATTTTAATGATTTAAGGCCTAATTGTTCAAGCGGAATTTTGTCTCATTTCAGCAATGTGTTGCGTCAATGGCGTGCTCCATGTTCGCAGCATCGCATCCCCACGCTTAACGGGATTCAGGGAAAGTGGCCACATGTAGGCTAACCATTTCACCGGCGAGTGTAGCCTATTGTTACAAATGTGTGTTTTGCAATGCAGCATTGGTACAAATGTTTTTTGAGAAGGCTGTAAATTGATACATGTAGCCTACATTAAGAGGCTATTTAGGCTATCTTTTGAATATCAAGCAGATCAGGTTGCAGAACAAATATGATGAATATTTAGTTTATCACAGAATTGTTCAAACAGCATATTTTGATTTATTATAAGCGTTAGCCTACTCAGTTACTGTGTTTTATTCATTTGGTTGAAATGTGTGCAGCGGGGTTTGTGGCCGCTCTCACTGGTGGCATGGCCATTTTAAAAAACGCTACCACGCCTTTGTTGCCAGGTCCAAGAAAGGAGCCACGTTTTTGTCCACACGCCCAACCACAAAATTAACAAATTCTAAAAAACACAGGGAGTTGGATGAGAGAAATGTATAAAAATTAAAATAACACACATTAGTTGACTACACAGGCCATTAAAAAGGGAAAAATCACCAAATTCCTATGTTGTGTCCACCGGCTGCACGCACTGAACGCCACCTGGCGGATTCCGGCGGTACTGCGGTTAAAAAGACTAGCCTACTGCTGAAAGCCACAGATCTGTCGTCACTCTCCTAGTAACAGATGTTGCTGCAGTTTCAGTGCAATTCCCCTATTGGTTGCTACTAGTGGTTGGATTTGATTTAAATATCACAGCACGCCAAAATGTCCAGGGATAGTTTTTAATACACATGTCCAAAGTGTGTGTGTAATGTGCATGTTCAAGAATTCAAATTTTATTCTCTCTTCTTCCAGGAAAATGGCCATGCCAAGACCAATGGGGATGCCTCTCCAGCTGCAGAGGAGGCCAACAAAGCTGATGTTCAGGCCAATGGCAGCACTCCTACAGAGGAGGCTCCAAAAGAAGGGGAGAAAGTAGAGGGCGCAGAGGCAAACGGCGAGAAGGAGCCCGCCGCCACAAATGGAGAGGCTTCTGCCAAGCCGGAGGAAGGCACTCCATCCACCAGCGAGGATGGCAAGCAGAAAAAAAAACGTTTCTCCTTCAAGAAACCCTCCTTCAAGCTCACCGGCTTCTCTTTTAAGAAGACCAAGAAGGAGTCCGAGGAGGCAGCAGAGGAGGGAGCGACAGCAGAAGAACCATCCGACGGAGAGAAGGCGGCATCAGAGGAAGCTCCTGCAGAGGAGGCCAAACCAGCTGAGGCCAGTGAGGAAGGAGCCAAGGAGGCTGCAGCTGAGGAGCCAAAGGCTGAGAAGGAGGAGGTGGTGAAGGTGGCAGAAGGAGAAGCAGCAGCAGCAGGAGGAGTAGAAGAGGAGAAAACAGCTGAAGCTTCACCTACTGAACCAGAGACGGCAGCCAGTCCAGAGGCCACAGCCACAGCTGAGTAATCCTGCTGAACGAGACACAAGAATGAAGGAGGCGATGAGCCTGTGTGAAGGAATGCGAGGACTTGTCTAAAACCAGGGATTTTTGTGTTCATTTTTTTTGTTGGTGTTTGTTTACTATTCTGCAACTATCTCATCCATAATGACTGCAACGTCCTTGGCAGTGATGGACAGGAGGTGGGCTGCTTCCTCACTGCTCATTGGTGCTTGCATTTGTGACGTGGGTGAGTGTGAAAGTGCGAATGTGTGTGAATGTGTTTTCTTGTGTTTTTTTTTTTTTTTTTTCTTCTACATGAAACCATGACTGTGTTGACATGTTGCTGAATTTGACATTTTATCAAAGTATTTGGTGCTGGGCAATTGGATGTAGCAGCTAAAGCTGTGTCTGCAAGATCTGACACATTGTGATATTTAAAGGGAAAGTCCTGAACCAAGTCTTAAATGTTGTCTTTGCAGTGCACAGTTGTTTACAACTCTTAAAGCTCAACGCTCCTGTGGACACAACCATTCCTTAATGAAGTAGATTTAGTTAACTGTCAGAACAATAGGTGCTCATCACTTCCCATTTAGATTCCAGCATTTCAAAACTCTGTAGTAATGCACGTTGTATAGACTTTGATATTACTGGTTTTATGACTGAGATGTACCTAAAAATGACTGAAGTTTTTAAATAACCCATTGTAAATGAAGTTTTCTTGTTTTTCACCATTTGTAAGATTGAATAAAATTGGGAGATGTTTTAAGCAAATTTTGCATCAAGCTGTGATGACTGCATCGCCTCTTAAAATCCACACTGGAAAGCACACAATTTGGCGGCCAGTGGTGCAAACTTGGAACCGCGTGTATTTGTATATAATGAGGCTTCACCGTATTCAATATGGAATGTAACATTGCCTACAAACTTGTTATAGGTGTTCAGTTTATTTTCTGTGATCAAGAGTAAAGGAATGAAGTATCAATCGGCTCATTTATTCAAAGTGTTCAGCAAACCTCATGTTTCCCTCGTAAATCTGTTAACGGAGTAGATGTGAAATCTCAGTATTCTGTTTTGTGACTGAGATCAGCTACTGGAGGAATTGATACACATGGATTCTTTGCTTTATAGCACCCTCGTGTGGTGCATTACTGAAGGAAAATAAACCGGGTGACATTTTCAGTCCATTGGAGGGGCATGAAAAATAAGCTATTTGGGCAGTATTTTGAATCTCTATTCATAATTAAGATAACATAACTTCTCACATTTAGAGAAAATCTGTTGGTTGAAGCAAAATGAGACTCTTAGCAGGTTGTGTAATTATGTTAAAATACTTCACAGCCTCTGTGATGGAAAGACAGCTGTTTTTCTAGAGTAAATATATTTTCCCACAAAAAATCAGTTATCAAATTTAGTGATTGAAGTGGAGCAAAATGAATGACAAAAGCACTGATGATACACTTAAAGGTCCCATTCAGCACATCCTAAAATGTAGGCCATGTGATTATTGCAATCATCCTTCTCTGTAAACCAGCTTCAAATGCAAGGAGACAAAGGGGGATCTTTGCCCTACAGTATTTTTAGGAAATTACTGACTTACTCAGGGAACAGCCACAACATAATTGTGTGATGAGATCTGGGGTAAGTTGTGTTTGATTCAATCACAGAGCTGCTGGTTTTGCACCCTAAATGATAGTGTTCGAAACAAACATTTTTATGGCGTCTGGAATTTTAGTATCTACAGTAAACAACTGCAGTACAGACCTAACTGATGCCTGTGCTCGCCCATCGACATGTTCGGATTCATTCTACAAAACCCCATAAAAACACCCAAACTTTTTAAGAGTGGAAGAGTTTGCTGCAAACGTCTCTAGGGTGTTTTTAGCCACCCACAGCTGGACCCATGCTCATTTCAAACCATCTTATTTCCTTTGCATCCAGTTTAACCCCATGTACCTCAGCCTTTGGCTGCCGCAAGAAGGGTGTGTTTTATTCATAATATTTCTATTTCTGCTTTTTGGTTTGCATGTCCATCTTGGTCAGGTTGTTGAGGGATTTGAAACCCATTTTGGCCCTTAATGTGTCACACACTGCTCATAACCATCGAGTATCATCCCACACACTACCACTATCCATCCTCTTGCAAAGTGTTTTTCTTTCTTTTGTTAGCTCCTTTCTAGACAAATGGATACAGAAGTATAGATGCATACAAACGCATACAAACATTTTAACCTATATATATATATATATATATATATATATATATATATATATAACAGATCATTTTGGAGTGTGGCTTGTGGCGTCGACCAGAGGCAGCACTCCGGCTGTGTTCCTGTCTGTCCACCTCATGCACCAACCGCAGACCGTCTCTGAATGGCAGTCCCCTCAGATGGCAATCCCCAGCGGTTTCCTTCAACCAGCTTCCTCTTTCTTCTGTCCCTCGGGCCTCTCACCTAACCACTGTATCGGTCCCTCTCCCAGGGAAGATCAAACAGCCGCTATCCGGCCACAGGACCATCCCTGTCCCTCATCCCACATGCTAACTATTTTCAGTGCACCCGAATTCAGACTTGCACGGTAAAGTAGCTTTTGTAAACATTGGCTGCCAGGCAGACAACCAGTGGCCGTCATGTGGGGAGAAATTCATACTTTATGATCTGCATCCCTCTCAGCTTCTGTACAGGGAACAGTGATGTGAAGTAACTAAAACATTTACTCAAGTACTGTTCTTAAGTTAGTATTTCCATTTTATATTACTTTATACTTCTACTCCTCTACATTTCAGAGGCAAATATTGTATTTTTCCTCAAGGGGTATCTAGTTAACTTGTAGATTAACATTCCACATATGAAACTTAGATCAGCTTATAAAATAGGATGCCTTGTTACACTTGAAACGTTTGTGTATGATATGGGACTGTTTACCTAGCCTGACTTTTGAAAACTCTGGAGTGTTGAAAGTCCAAAACTTGCTTGTTTTTACAGATCAAAATACCTCATCGGTAAATCAGTAATAATAAGGGGGGATTCTACATAATGGGCACTTTTACTTTTGATACTCTAAGTAGTTTTTGTTTTTAATAGTTATGTTATAATTATTAAATTATAACACATTTACTTTAGAAAGCTTTTGATTGTAGGAATTGTACTTGTAACAGAATATTGGTCATGCCTACCTTTATGTCCCCCTATTTAGCATGTACAAGTCGTATACAAACGACATAATAAATGGTTAATTATTACACATTATAATGTAATTGTAAGCAGATAAACGGGCATTTAAGTGTTTATTAATGTACAGTATTTCTCAGCAATTATATCCTCTCCTATGAAGACATATTTAATATTATTACAACTGTGTTTTATTGATTATCGGTTTATACAGCAGCCTCCACGTATGGGCGCCTACAGGAGTAGTTATAGCTGTTGACAGATACATTAATAAACACTTAGATAAACGTGTTGCAGAAGTCTTTTATATTGGGGTAGTGATACTTTTACTTACATAAAATGATCTGAATTCTAAATCTGACAGGGACTCATGGGAATAAACGGTGTAACATGTTAGTATATGTTACATCAAACTATGCTTAGTCCATCTGTAGCTAATATGCTAGCAACCATTATTTTTGACTATCTGACTTATGTTTTAAAGTTTGGCAGTGATCTAATATTTTGCAGAACTTATAACAAATACATTTGGAAACCAGGTAATTTCCTGGTGCCTTAGGATCCAGTGCTGTACAGGAAGGCTCGTAGAGAGGTTACCACATAACCGACAGCAAGGTGGAAAAGGAAGCACTTGAACCATATTTAAACTGGAATAACTTTCAGGGTTCCATACTGGAAAGCATTCATTCATGCTAAAGTGTTCTTGATCAATTAAAGACTTGTATTATTGCACCTCCAAGTAATCTGTCAATAGGGGATTTATTAACATGTTCATTTCGGTCCCATTTTTAAAAAAGTGCTTCTGAGACAAAACATTAGTTTAGACATCTTTTATTTTGGTCATTATGCTTTACATGACATAATGCATGTTCAGGGATATAACAATTTTGTTGGTAGTTTGTGTTTGTATGACAGTATTCTGGTGACTTATTTCATTATAACGGTCAATTTGACCATTACTATTTCACAATATTCAAGTCACGTACAAGGATAACAGTTACACCATGTTGCACAGAAAGTATTTGTGTACTTTTAATAAGATTATTGGTCACCCAAACAAAACAAGCAGTTACAAAAACAAACAAAAAAACAGACAAACACTAAATTAAGAATCACCAGTTGAAGTCAGTATAAAAGGAACAGAGTGGAAAAGAAAAAAGTCAGGACACAACACAGTTATAACACCTCAGTTTCACATGCTGTCTCCATTAGAAAAGCTAACTGGTAACTTTGTGGATTGCTTCCCCCATCCCTGATCACCTGTTTTCATAAATTAGTTTTCCTTCTTCTAAGCACCTATTTCTTGTAGTTTTCAAGTCGAGATGCTACTATTCCTCAAAGAAGGGTGAACTGCCTGCCTGTTTGATTGAGGAAAAAGATAACAGGGAGTTTACTTTAGTTTGAGAAATAGATTGCAAATTTAGTTGGTTGGCTTTTGGGAACTACTGTATCAACCTATCACGTTGAAGCAATGAGGAACCCAGAGAAAGAGCAGTGGACATTCTCGGCAGCAAAGACGCCACTGGCCTCATCATCAGGGATCTGGACGAAGACTGTGTCATGCTCATCGAGCAGGAGGACAGCACTACCGGACATCTGGTCCAGGAAGCCCTTGTTGTACTCATCATAAGTGAACATCACAGGCTGACTATTCTTGTACAGAGCTACCAGGGCATGAGCTCCATTGACATGGATACTGTAGGAGAAATAGTAAACTCCAGGAATCTGGCATGTGAAAATGCCAGTCTCTGGGTCATAGTGATTCTCAGCATTGTACACTATCTGGTCAAACTTAATGGGGCTGCCAGCAGCAGGGTATGGGGTGGCCAGAGATGCAGTGAAAGCAGACATGGGGGACTTGACCATAACCTCAGCCATTCCCATACCCTTCTCAAAAACAACCTCACCAGGAGGACCAGGGGGACCAGGAGGACCAGCTGGGCCAGCTTCTCCATCAGCACCGGGCTCACCGGGCTGACCAGGAGGACCCTGGGGTCCAGGAGAACCCTTAGCAGCCAAACCAGCAGGGCCTGAAGGACCAGGGAGACCTGGGTGCCCCTTAAGACCGGGAGCACCAGCGGGACCTTGAGGCCCAGCAGGTCCTCTGGGACCTGGAGCACCATCAGAACCAGAGGCACCTGGCTCGCCTGCACGGCCGGTGTGACCTTTGGGTCCAGCAGGGCCTGGAATACCTGGGGCACCTGGGGTACCTGGGGCACCTACATTACCTTTGTCACCTGTGGGTCCAGTGGCTCCTCTGGGACCAGGAGGACCAGCTGCACCTGGATAACCCTGCTTGCCTGCGAAACCCTGTGGTCCCTGATCTCCCTTGTTTCCCTTAGGTCCCTGAGGTCCAGTATCACCTGTGTCACCTTTAGGGCCAACAGCACCAGATTCACCTGGGAAACCTCTTACACCCTGAGGTCCAGCAGGACCAGTGGGGCCAGTTGCACCAGTAGCACCAGTATATCCTGTTGGACCTTGCTCACCCTTTGGACCTGTGGCACCTGTGGCACCTGTAGCTCCCCTCTCTCCCTTCTCTCCATTTGCACCTGGCTTTCCATATCCTGGGACTCCAGGGGCGCCAGGTGCTCCAGCAGGTCC